TGAACCGATTCCCATCTGAAGCTTGTGTAAAGAAATAAAAAAAAAAAATTAAAAATAAATACATTTAATTATTATTTATAATCTTCGCATACGTGCATAATAGGTACCTACTCGAAACAAGTTGCAGCAGCAGTGACGCGCGCCACAGCTACGGAGATGCCGGTGACGGCAATATCGTGTTTACACGATGTGTTTTTCTTTTGCAATTACACACGATATTACATTCAATTGTTGTGGTAAGGTGTTCGGTCAATAATTATTTGGTTATTATATGCTTATTATGGTATTTTATTTTTTACTGGTACGTTTTTCTCTGCTTCACCGGCCGTCGCTAAGTACACAATCACGCGACGTAAGTTCCGACAAAACCGTATTGTGTACTCGACGAGTGAGTTATCGGTTTTCGCCACGAAGCCGTTTCTTCGATGGATATCCGTCAACTACCCCCCTTCCCTCTTCCGCATTCGTTATTTACGTAATTTTCACACGTCTACAGCGTGAAGGCCGCCTGGGACGAACTTTGGATAACACAATTGGTGATTGCCGTTTTCGGAGGCGCTCCGGAGCATGTACGTAAACAAATATTAACCTGTAAACCGTGAAGTTACCTCCTATTGACGAAAATAATTCTTTCGAGAAATGTAATGTTCTAAACGGTTTCAAAAAACAAAGTAAAGAATGGCATGTCATTTGAAGAACGTTTGTTAGGTCAGTTTAAAATATTGTAGCGTGTGTTGTTTAATCAAAAAATCAATAAAAGATACGTCAATAAGAATGAAAAAAAAAATTGTTCCGGATTTCGCCAAATAAAATATGACAACCTTAGATTTGCCGTCTGTCATGAGCCACGTGCGGTAGGTAATTAATTATTCTAATGTATTCCATTCGAAAAACAATCAATTGTAGATTGTGAAAAGTGTTTAAAAAAAATTTGCATTTGGTGTACATAGTCTCACCAAAATAGATAGACTAAATAAATAGACTTTTCCACAGTTTCGATTTTATTATCCCAAAATCCTATCAATCAAAATGAATCGAAAAGCGAAAAAATGTTCCATACTTCATATCATTAGAGGTAACGATGAAAACAAATTACAATAATATTGATTCTCGAAATACATTTTACGGCAAATTTAATATTTCAAATAATAAAATCGCCATCGCTTCATTGAATGGGTTATGACCGAAAGCCGGCAAATCACGCGATCTAATTCCTGTAACACTATTATCGTTTGCATATCTGTGTACTTTACCAAACGGTTTGTGTGACAAATACGATTCCTATGATTTTTCCACACTTTTGGGATTGGATTTTTGAGGAGACATGTAACCTGTACAAATGGCTTTTCACACAATAGTAAACACAATTACACAAATACAATACAATCGTATGATTTTTAAATAAATACTACCAACTATCGCACAGTCCTCATCAACATTTTTGTTCTAGAGCGGTTCACTTACTATGGTACCATATTATTCAAATGGATTTGGTATTGAATTTATTTATATTCTATAATGCGAAGCATCACATGGTTGCTCAATTATTTGAAAACATAATAAATGCCATAATGATTTAATTGGGTGTACGGGGAAGGTGAAATTATTGTGAAATAAAAAGTGCAATAAGATAATGGTGGTAGTAACTAATAAATAAAACAGTATTTTTTTAATTTTTTTATTATACTTTTATATACCTTTACATAGTACATTATTACACAAATGCTAAACATTACATCAATTACATCAAATTACACAGAGAACTAAAATTTATATATTACTAAGAATATTTTCATTTTTTATTTATATAATATAACAAATATTATTATATTTTTTATGTGTTTTTGTCGTGCGTATAGCATCAAATTTTTAATTTCAAATTAACACGATAACTACAAATTCAAATGTTACACTATACCAATTAATACACAAAAATAAAATTAATGTTTTTACGATTGAATATACAGGCATATATATGTATATATTTATATAATAGTTATATATACTAAGAGTATTATGTTATTATTACTTAAGTATTAATATATTAATCAAATATCTCTACGATATTTCCTTAGTAAATCGAATAGGGTTTAATAAAATAATACATTTTTATATTTAAAACCACATGAAGTTTTAATGCTGTTTAGAATTTCCTAAAAAGAAATATATATATATATTAATAATTGTTTACATATAGTTAAAGAAATTCATACACTGATCTTCATTCACTAAAAACAAAAAAAAAAAAAAAAACAAAAAAAAATACTAACAAAATGTCAAATTAGAATAAAAAAAAAAACCTAATAAAAATTAATAACTTTTTAACATTATTTTCATATATTTATAAATATCATATAATGGAAATAATAATGAACAATTTTACACTGTCGAAATATCAATAAACCTTTACACATCAGTCTTGCTATGAAATATATAAATTTTTTACGTTTTCTTTACACTGCCAATGTTTAATTGTTAATAGATAACCCCATACAAATTTACACAGGAATAATAAATTAAAATATATAGATACGAAGAAATAAAAAATTATAACCATTGCAAGGTCATTGACTAAACGGGCTGTGTTTATTTATATATTATATAAGTGTATTACTACTTAACGAGTAAAATAAGTTTGTATGTAAATAATTATTTATATTGAACATTAAGTGTTCATCGAGCACATATAGCGTGTACAACACCTCTAGAATCTAATCATTTCATTAGTTAAACATACATTAAAAAAATATTATGATCATCATAATAAACGAAAAATTATAATTAAATAAATCTAAAAATAAAAATCAAAATAAGTTTATATAACTATATTAGTACCAACTAAACTCTAATGTATGTAGATTTACGAAGGTATTTAAGGGATACTGGAACATCCAAATATTATTTTATGTATATTTTATATAAATTTAATATTATAATAATAATATTTATGTCATAGATTATAATTAATATTACACGTCTAGTTAGAAAAAGAAAAAAATGATTATGTATTTTTGTCTAAAATTTATAGTTGTTTAAAACAACTCAATACAAGACTACAATTACAATTTTTTTTTTTTTTTTTTTTTAAGTGCATCTTGAAATCTATTTGATCACATCTATTAGTATTTGAAAGTGTTTATGATAGATGGTGGCAACAATTCCGTACATAAACATAGTTATGTATATCATTATAAATTAGATAATGAGGTGTATGACCTTAATAATTAAATGAAGGATGCCTTTTGTACTCGATAATATATAAATATAAATTGCGTTGTATGTGATTACATTTTCGAAATACATTGGATGTGAGTTATGGTAAGAAATTTATAATTTGAATAATGATTGCGTATAATTGAATGATGAACAATTAAATAAAAGGATATATGTAAATGTATAAAACTGCAATATTTTTTAAAAACGGAAAGTTACAAGAGAACAACAGCCATGATGACAATGGAGTTTTATATAAATCCATTTCAAAATAGGCGCTGAAATAAATAATAATGTATAATTAACAAGCAAATGTAAATTAGTTAAGTTTGTTGGAGTCAAATGTACAATTGTATGTTCATAGATACATATTTTTTTTTAAATTAGAAAAAAATTTAAATACACGTTATACTAAAAATTAGCAGTCTTTCAATTGTTTTGTTTTGTTTTTTTGTTAAGGATGTTTTACTCTTCTTTTAATCAGAATATAATAATAACATAAATTCTAAAATGCTAAATATTTTCCAGCTCTATAATGGATTTTATTAGTGTTGTTAGTTTTCTGTTTTAAATATTTAATACATAAATGAAGGGGAAAAAAACAAAACGTCAATAATTTATTATTTGAAAAAAGAATAATGTTCACATTTTTTCTTCATTATGTACATATTATCAGGAACATAATAGCCTAACTTATGCGTCTATGAGAAACACGTTTTGAATAAAATATAAATAAAAAATTATTACGAATGAAAGAATTTTTGTATACATATAATATATATATATATATATATGTATATATAAAACATAAACTTATATACACATATTTATCACCAGTTTTTATTAAATACGGATAGATTAATAACAAAAATAAAAAATAATTATGTACCTGAAACTGGTAAGAATTTAGCTTACAGATTTTCATATACAACATAAACATAATAGCTTTCACAGATTTAAAAAATATGCAATTTTATACAATTATATATAATATATATATTTTGAAAAAAAAAATACAAGCGTTGTAGCGATAAAATGTGTACATAATATAATTTCTTTATACAGCGTATATATATTTATATATATAATTATAAAAAATAAAAATAAAAATATTACAGGAATGAATTACTCTCAATTTATATGTATATATGCATAATATTTATATAGAGAACGAAACCTGATTTTATATTACAGAAAAACAAACAAAACTTTACTATCAAAATCTAATTTAAACCCTGTTTAAAAATTAAATGAAATACTATATAAAAATTATACAAAATATTATACACAATCATTTTGTTAAGTTAAAAAAAACGTATTTAAAAAGAGAAACATATTGACCAGATTTAATTTTCTGTACACTATAATATAATGGAAGCAAAATATACATTAACGCTGTATAAGAAATTTGCTAAGGTCATAAATTGGGTGCTAATTTTTTTAATGTACATACCTTGTAAACGTCACCATATTAACTAACTCGTTAAAAAATTTGTCGTATTTGTGATACAGTATTCAAAGTGTAATTAATATTATAATATATTAAAGCCCCATGCTAATAAGCTAATTAGTAATTATTTACTTGTTTTTGTTTCTAACAAATAATAATAATCATAATAATCATAATAATCATAATCATAATCATAATAATAATAATAATAATAATAATAATAATAAACATCCAAAGCCATATAATTGCCTATTAAATTTGGATACTAATATTTTTAATGCACAAAAATTAAGTTAAACCCACTAACTTTGAATAATAATAATGAAGTAATAATTAAAAATAAATACAACTTAAATTGGATTCAAAATACTAATAATGGGATACAATGATTAAAAAAAAAAAAAAAATGTTAAGCAGAAAATGTAGAATTGTTTAAAGCACTCCATTTGTAGGTGGCCCAATAGGTCCCAATTCAGATACTGGTACTGACTGTTGGTTGCTTTTCATGAAATATTTTTCTAATTTTGAAATTATATGCTTGCCATATGTATATTTGCGCAGAGATGCAAAATGTGGACGGATTTTGTGCATAAGCACCTTGCGTTGTGAAGACTCACATACATCCAACATTTTTTGCACCACATAATTAGCGTACTGATCTTTCATCATCACGTGTAAAGCACTAAGAAATAATAATAATAATAATAATATTAACATTAAAATAATTAATTTATAATTTGAAAATAATATATAAAACTAATTTAAAGAGTATGTTACTCACTTGTCATTGAAACCGCACACTTCTTCTATCAGCATTGATCGTTCACTACGTGTAGCATGTGTAACACATTTCTCCACAACGTTAGATGCAAACTTATGCTGGGATAATGTCAACACTTTACCACGAACTGAGCATATTAATTTAGATTTGTCCTCTTGCTTACCGTGTTCTATAAAATTAAATTACATTTGAATTATTAAGTACATGGCACAAAGTAGTACTCATAAAAAGTACACCCAAAAGCGCTATTATATATAAATACAAATTGCACTTGCAAGACACCCGAAATCAAGTTTAATATAATTATATAGTTCAACATACCCAATACATGTTGAATTACATAATTTCCATATTGATCTTGAATCAATTGTTCAACATGTTGATGCATTTCATCAAGTATTGGTGCTGTCTGTTCCGATGTACAATGTTCAAGTATACGTTGAATAACTCTGCATCCATATGGGTGAGTTGATAATGTTAATACCTGGTGATTAAAAATCAAAATTATGTAGTAGATTCTATGTAGTTTTTACTTTTTATAATAGTATTATTTCCTTAACACTTACTTGTCCTTGGAAAGCATTGATAATGAATTGCAAAGCATGTGGGTCAACACATTCAATACATTTTTGGACAACATGATTACCATTTTGGTCTTTAACACATTTAAGGACATGACCATCAAGCTCACGTACTATTTCTACTTGTTGTTCTCCACTTACGCTCTCTAATGCTTTCTGGATAACTCTGCAGCCATACATTTGTAATGCTAATGGTAATACGTGTCCTCTCACCTTACATATAGAAAACACTAATTTATTAGAATACAATATTCACGTTAATTATGAAAAAGATTAAAAAAACATACTTTTTGCGCTAATGTAGATTTCTGTTCAGGTGTGCCAAATTCAAAAAACTTTTGAATGACATAATTACCGAAAACGTCAGTCATCAAGCTGTAAGCAGCAGCCAATATTTCGGAAAACACCAACTGCTTCTCTGGTGTAGAAGCTCGTTCCAACTTCTGCTGTATAAATCTAGAGCCGTGTTGGTCTTGAGAAAACTCAACGATGTGATTGGTCAGGTCTCGTAGTTGGAGACTGGGGTAACGATTGTTCCTGCCACAGTGCAGGAGAATCGGATCGATTACGATTAATCAAGCCAATAAAACATAGTGTTGGAGATGAGTTATCAAAATAGTAGGATCTTACGCCTACACCTCAATTATAATCTATGCTCATCTCCAAACTGTTAAGCAATATTATAATATTACTAAGAAGGTAACCTACCTAAAGTCTTCTAATAGCCTGCTTCTACCAGACGGTTTTGAATCTAAGGTGATGGAAGAACCTCCTAGTGAGGATGCACTACCTCGAACGCCACCCATTTTGTTGAATAAGGAACTCGAATTGTTCGGGTTTGCCGTAGTGTTGAACATGGCTCCATTGGTGGCTAGACCACCCATGGCAAAATCTAATACACAATACAAAAATTATAAGTATATTGATGTTTGCAACAATGGAACCCAGTAAATGTGATTTATAGTGATATGATACTACTAATAAACAAGAAAATGTTCACTGTCACACGTACCACTAGCTCTGAACTTGGACATTGTTTCAGCACCTGGCGCAGCATTCATCAGACCTCTGTTGGCATTGTTGGCCGAACCCATCAGACCCAATTGTAAATTGGATGCGGAGCCCATTAACGGAGGAGGAGGAGATCCTGAAGCAAGACCCAAAGGACTTTGTGACGCTGTATAGAAAATAATTTGTTTATTAAACCGGGGTCTAATAAAAAAACAAAATACCGTAAATGTTTACCCAGTGTTCCGTACTGCGGCCACTTGTGACGGGCATAGTCCATAGATGGTGAAAAAGCGGACGTATTGCGGTCAAAAGAATCGCGTCTGCCGCCATTTCCGGAACCAAGACCAAGACTGACGTTGACATCGTGTACGCCTGCTGTCGAAAACAAAAGTAAAAATATCTCGTAAGTAGGTAAAAAGGTGTACATAAAATATAAAAGGTAACAATTAGATAAAAGCAGTGGTGTCATTTACACTGTTTTAATAGTTGAGAAATGTTTTGGTTCACGTGCCTCTACACGCAGATATCTACGGTTAAAAACGAAAATATATACTAGTAGAATATTAGGCAGGGCGCACATTGGGATGCAGGTAACGCAACACAGTGTAAGGCAGTGCAGCGCAGGAAAAACTATGTGACCCATTTGATGGCATATTACACGTAGTTCTGTGTCATCTAGTCATGAACGAAATGATAGCAAAAAGTAGCAGTTTAGAATCAGTTTTTGATGATGAATTTGAAGAACTTCTTTTATTATATTCGTTAAGTACACGTAAAAAATTGTGGAAAAGTGATTTTTTTGAAAAAAAATTAATTTTTTTCTTCATACAATCGACCATGAAATATAAGACATTGTAATTCCGGACGGTTTCAATCCAGACTCTTCCACAGTAAAATTAAAATGAAAAATTAAATATCGAATTAAAATGAAAAAAAGTGGAAATTATCTTAGGCCGGCGTAACAGGAAAATATTCCAAACGCGTGTGACACATACGCAGTAAACTGTCGTGGACACTGCTTGACGCAGGTCACCACAGGCACAGTTCTGTTCTGCCCTGCCTTGCTTCCTAATATGCGCTGCGTCGTTATGTCTCAATATGCGCCCGGTCTTACACTCGTATGAGTAAAGAATAAGCACGCAATAGGATCAAAAAGTTTGTTATTATTTAACTATTGTAATTTGAAATTGTAATTTGCTGTCTGTAGGTTGTCTTTAAAACTACATTAGACTCGCGTTTGCCGTACCTAATTGTGTGTATGAATTTACGCGTTTTTTTTTTCAAAATGCCACAATTCAAACAACGGGCCAACATTACATTTTGTTTATATCTTGGCAAAATTGCAGCAAAAAAACTCGAATGTTTTAAAATTTATTTTTTATTTTTATGGTGATAAATCAATAAAGAAAACCACCGTTCATGATTGCTTTCAACGTTTCAAAAATGGTTAAGAGTCATTTCAAGACAAAGAGCGGGGTGGCCGACTATCAATTTAAAAAAATTATGAAACGGTCGAAAAGTTCGGAATCTGATTCAATCAGATCGTCGTTAATGCATTTAAGATATGGCAAATACATTAGGAATGCGTTTGTGTGAAATTTTTTCCATGCATTTTTACCAAACACCAAATGGAAAACAGAAAATTGATTACCGCTGAACTTTTCGAACGTTTAACAAATGAAAATGACTTATTGTCCAAAATTATTACTGGGAATGAAACTCAGGTTTTCGCTTACGATCTAGAGATAAAATTGCAGTCATCAGAATGGCATATATTAATGTCTTCGTTGTCAAAAAAAAAGAAAAAAAAAGCACGTGTTATCATCACAATTGAAGATCATGTTTATTGTATTCTATGACAATATAGGGTTGTGCACCGGGAATTCGAATCGAATAAATAAACCATTTAACTCTAGTTTGTATAATGGAATTTCAAAACGTTAAGCTCGGGCACACATTGAGGCGTGGGTGACGTTATGCAGCGTAGTGTAGAAAAAACTGCATTACCTGTGAGTGCATATTGCTACGCAGTTTAGTGTCACCCAGCCATGAAGGAAATTATAGCAGAAAATTTAATAAATGTAAGTTCTAAATCTGTTTCTGATGATGAATTTAATAAATTTGTTATATTATATTTATTAAGAATACGTAAAAAATTGTAGAAGTCATTTTATAAAAAAAAGTTATTTTTTCATTTTTTCATTATATAGTCGATAAGACTAGTGTCATATAAGTCACTATAATATCGAAAAGCTTCGATCACAAACTCTTCCATAATAAAATAAATTTAAAAAATAAAATATCGAATTAAAATTAAAAAGGTGACAATTGGTAGGTCGACGTAACTGGAAAATGTTCCAAACGCGTGTAGCGCATGCGCAATAAACTGTGTCACGGACACTGCAGACGCAGAGGTCGACACAGGCACAGTTCTGCTTTTCCCTGTCCTGTTTCCCAATATGCTTTATACGTTTTAACTAATAGATTATAGAAAACTATGCTGCGTTGCGTCGCCATGTCTCAGTATGTGCCAGGCCTAAGACTTGGACTCAAAGATCAACGTTTTGCGACGAATAAAAACATTACAATTAATGCGATGGCAAACCTCAGTACCAAATCAATTGAGGAATATCAAAGACGTTTCCAGAAGTTACAAATTCGCTGAAGTATATCAGTGTTAAAGGACGATATTTTGAAGAAAATTAAATTAATTTAAGTTAATATTGTGTATATAAGTATATATAAAAAAAAAAAAAAATGTCGGGAAATTGTTGATCCTATTACGTATTTTTAAGGTTGAATAATGAAAGTGTATACATGCATATACAGGGTGGGCAGTGATATCTTTCTGTTTATTAATGTTGTTAATATGTGCCCACTCTGTAAAAGCACATAAGTAGATAATATAAACAAGAGCGAGGCTATATCCTAGAGAAAACAATAATTGAGCTTAAAACTTATTGATATTATCCTAAAATGTATGATCATGAAAATTACTACCAAACTTTAATTTAATCGATCCTAAAAACTTTTACTATGGGATGATGATAAAAATATTAAATTTCAACAGTAAGTTATTGTTGCGCCCGAGTATTTCCTTTCTTCTCCCTTTCTATTCTAAAGGAACTGGTAAGGCCGGGAGCTTAAGTTTAATGCACATTCATCTTGATCGCGTTATCAGAATATTTCCGTTTTAATTAACCCGTCTGCTTAAGATTTAAATGGCCACGTGTACGCACGGCAGGATGATACTAAAGAGGTCGTTGTTGTTGCACTAATTATGTATGGATACTAGTATAAATAATAAATCTATCAAACCCTGAAAACGAGATAATTACGCAGATGGCGGCGGTAGCGTTGTTCGATGGGGTAAATTCGTGCCTAATAAAAACGTAACTACATAATAGACGGTATATGAACGACAAAGACACAAGTAAAAAGTGAGCAGAGAAAATTTGAAATAACTTACAAGCGATAATTCAGATTGCATCGATTTAAAAATGCAATATACGCAACAATGGCGTAAAAGAGGGAAACACAAAGGGAGAAGACAGGAAAAATACGCATTATTTTCATATTACCCGCGGTCCTACTTCAGACTTTTTTTATATAAAAAAAAAATCATACGAATTTTGATAGCGGTTATCTTCTGCATATATTTTGTAGTATCAAAACAAATTATTTTATAAAATTAATACGTATCAAAAAAATATAAATACAAAATTTATATTAAAACTATCCAAAAATGGTAGTTTAAGAGGTAAGGTAAAATCACAAAATGATAATTTTGCTATCATTGTAAAATACTAATACTTTTTTTTTTTTTTTATATATATATATATAATAAAATCGAATGAAAAATACTGATGTAAATTTTATAATATTATTTCACGAGTGTAAAAAAAAAAATTAGAAATTGTTTCGTAGTATTTCACAATGAAATCAGCCATTTCATGTTTGACCCATTAATTTATTTATTACGAATATATATGCCCATAGCCTAGAATACACATATTATGTACATTTATTACGACTGCAAAACCAATTTAAGGGATGAACACAGAAAAATAATAAATAAATGATGATATACATTTACATATACATAAACAAACTATTATGTTGTATGCATATTTCAAACTGTTAGAATGTGAAAAAAAGAACAAAAAAAAAAAACAAAACAGTAATATTAATATTAAATAAATTAAACATGCTAGTTAGTTGTAGCGGTATATAAATTTGTATACACAGCGAAAAAATGTAACAAGAGTGTATAATTGCATACTCCAACATACATACTATTAAGTACCTACACGTTTCTACTATGAAATTTGTTTACACCCTATCCACATACACACGCACGTATATTGTACAAAATATATATGTAAACAATATATATATATACACATTATATTTTATAAAACCACGTGTGTGACAAATTATATCACTTGAATATGCAATCACACATTAATATTATTATTAATATTATAACGATATAATGGTAAGGAGAAAAGTAGAACAATGACGTGTAAACTTCACTTGTTAGCTATTATATCGACGATTACAGAGGGCGGCATTATAACTTAGTATTTACCGTGAAAAGGGTGGTGGTGATGGTTAATTAATGTTATAACTTATGCGTGTGATGTGTTAGTATATAAATTGCAAATGTGTTTACACCACAAAGTGAGTATGTACACTGTACACGTCCGTCATCACATTTGAATCTCTGAAAAGAGAACTGAATTGAAAATGGCCGTGCGCGAACATACAGAAGCATACAAAATATATATATATAAAAAAAAAACAAATACACAATAAGGCAGCGCTAAAAATAAAATATAAATACACGCGAATCCTACAATAAATGTTGTTGTTGCACGATATACGGATAAGATGTTCAGTGGCACAACAAGGATTTATTTCTGAGAAGGATCAGAAGTTTCAAAAATAGACCCTCATTGGCACAGTTGGTGTTTAAAGGAACATTTGAGTATTCTGAAAAACTTTCAAATAACGTAGTATATTTTAGGAACAGCTTTCTGTAAGTAATGTTTAAATTAAACATGGTAGAATCGTATTTGTAGTAGGCCTACTTTTTCCTACAAACACTACTCAAGAAAAATTGAAATAATTAGGAAAATGACGAATTTAAGATTGACAATAAAAATAAATATTTTGGGAGGATAATCATCACTTCGTAGTTATTTAAAATACAAGTCCCCCTTCCTAGTTGTACCATTGATGATATAAATTGTTACTATAAAACGACGGAAGCGGCCGCGTGTTTTAAAGGTGGTGTATGCGCATGCAACAACAACAATAACAACAACAAAAACGTACCTGCGCTGACCCCCAGCGAAGAAAGGCTGGATGTCAGTGAGGTCAAGTTGGTTGAATAATTGTTGGCTGCCGAACCGACCGCCTGCTGAGGCTGTGGTTGGAGTCCTGTTAAAAAACACCCCGATAAAATACTAATATCACGAAAATATTGGTGATGGCAGAACAATTGCAGGGCTATTAAGTTATAATAAATAATCCCAGGAAAGGAGAAGAGCTAAATCGGAGCTAAACGGATCAAAAATATTTGATAATAATGATAAAATAATATTCCTGATTACTAAATGATGAAATTAAAAGTCTAACCAAGAAAATTGAATCATCTACCTACTATTATATTTATTTTTTATATAGTGTTATTATAAAATAAACACAAAGATATCGAAAATTAATATTTTTATAAATATTCATTGTTCGTTTCATAAAAAAAAAAAAATAAATAAAATAAAAAGTGTTAAGTCATATTTAAATAATCAAATAAAATTTATATTTTTTTAGGGGAGAAATGGCAGTCCTGAACCCGGCAAATGTTAAGATGGAGCTTGAGTACTCATTACGCAAGTACTTAATAATGCTACAGAGAATGGACTGGGCTATCTAGTTGGTCGATTATCAGTTATAAGATAAACGCAAAAATTCATCAAAGGTATTCATTACAACTCAAACTATATGCGCACACACATACAAACACAACTATTATTACTAGGGTCCGGATTTAAATGCACTTAAAACCAAATATGCTCTAAAAAATAGCGAAAAGTATCCTTAAAAAATGCATTTTATCACAAAAATTACCTTAAAAATGAAAAAATAACATAATTTTTTTTTATTTTGGGTTTATTTAATATACTATTTAATACATTAAAATTACAAATACACGTAAATACGAGTAACATCTGAGAGGTAGCTCACGAACTAGCTGATTATTTGTTATTTGATCGAATCTTGTGACGTTCCATAGTCAAAAATAAATTAAGATAAAAACTGAATCGAAAACTAGATTGACAATTTATAAAATAAATGAAACAATTAATATTATGATAATGTGTATGGAAAAACCCGATAAACCTACTTAAATATCAAGAAAATAATTTGTCTTTTGATTTTATTTTGAATAGGCTAAATTTGTTTAGTATATCGAATATAAATATGTATTAAAAACCAACAAAATGATCCAATAATACTAAAAATGCTCTAAAAATGAAAAAACGTCGAAAAATGCAAAAAAAAATGTAAAATAAAATTTGTTGTTTTGAAACCCTCGTTACATGAAATTAATTATGTTCTTAGAGAGCATTGTGTATGATCAACTAAAAAAATATGTAGTTTGCAATGAAATCCGGGCCCTAATTATTACTAATTTTAATCCCTCGGTGGCACGCGTAGTCAGCATTCATAAGTAGGGATGGGAATTTCGACTCAGTTTAATGATTCAATTCACTTAGCTCAGTTCATTTCAATGATTTTATTCAACAAGTTAACTCCTAATTCAATAAGTTCTTACCAACTATATGTTTTATTTATCTATGCAATTTATATATATAATATATTATTATATAGTATATATTTGACAAAATTATAATATTAAGTCGGGAACTGATAAGAACTAGGAGGTAACACCGAGTTATCGAGCCATTAATTTGTGTGACACAATTATTCGACACATTCAATTCACCTAAAAGAGTCGACTCTTTGAATCAATTCACTTGCTCACTCACTACCCATCCCTGTTAGCAAGTAACGCGTAGGTAGGTAATTACCGTTGTCGCCATTGATATCTGCTAATGGCAACGACGGGGCGAGTATTACACGATGACAATCGTACGGATTAATCTCGCGCTACAATATTGTATATGTAATATTTTTGTTGAGTATTAATTAAAAATACTGTTGGCGCAAACGTATTGTACACACAACCGTCATAAAAGATAGTGCAGCAGTGTAGTAGTGGTGCGCTTTTATTTTCATTGAAATTAAATATTCCGGGTGAATGACCGGGGGATGGAGGAAACGATAAAAAAAAAAAAAAAAATGGAATTTGTCCGACTTTGTGAACGCGCGTATGTATGTATGTATGTATGTATGTATATATATACATATAGTTTTAATATACCAAAAAAATAATAATAGTAATAAAAATAATAAATATAAATGTACAGTGAGAAAAAATATTACGAACGGAGAGAAAGAGCGGTAACACTACCAATACGTACCTTGTTGGGCGTTGACGATAACGGACGCGGGCGACACGAGCCTCAGCTGTCCGCCGTTACGGGTCATTACGAGTGATCCGTTTTGGTCGTAGAATGCCGGTATGACCTGGTACTGGGTGCCGTCAGCCTGAGACGGACTCATTGGCCTGCGCTGCTGCTGGGCCGTGTTGGTTCCATTGGCCGCAGCGCCGGGTTGTCCTGCCGCACCAGCCGGTTGTATGATGCTGCCAGCCGGATACATGCCCCACGGCACGCCGTAGTATTGCGGCACCACGGTCGGACCTGAGCCCATAAAGCCTTTATTGAGACAACACACACACACGCACACACGCACGCACAGAATAGTAATGAAACAGTTGAATAGAGACGGTACAAAATAATAATAATAATAACAATAAAAAATTAAGAAGTTGGTGGGTTATCATAACCAGGTGACAACAATGATTAACTGATAGCGAATAATTACAGCAGGATTGGAAAGGTTATTTTGAATAACAGAACGAGGATGTAGGACTTAACATGTATACACACAAAGGATGCATGGTATGTAGTTCGCAGAACATAGTGTGTATTGATTGATGTGTATATACTAGGTATATGATTCTATAATTATTGTGTCACGATAATGAAGAAACTTACCGGTGATCACGTATGGTTCTTGAGGGTTGATAAGGTACGGTGTGGTGGCCGTGGTTCCGGGAGGCGCAAACGTGGCCGCGGCCGCTGCTGGGGTAGCAGCTGGAGCTGATGCGGCTGCCGCCAGTCCGGCAGCCGCTGCGGCCAGTTGTTGCTGTTGCTGTAGATGGAATTGCTGCTGCTGTTGTTGCTGGATGAGCTGCAGTTGTTGAGCCGCTACCGCAGCCGCGGCGGCTGGATTGGCTGCCGCAGCTGCTGCCGCTGCCGCTGCTTGTTGGGCTTGGTGATTACGAAACAGCTGCTAAACGATAGGCGATAAAACGAATAAGTTGACGATCGATGATGACATACACATTATGATTTTGTGTTGTTTTTTTTTTTAAAAAATAAGCATTTTTTTTACCATGCCATGAGAGTACAAAAAATCTAAAAAATTTCCATACGTCAAAAAAAGTACAGTTTATTTATCATCACTATAACGTCCAAAAATCATCATGCTGTTCTACACAGTTATTTACAATTATGCACACATTAATTATTTATATCTTGTTATAAAGGCTTAGTCGATGATATTATTATATAATATCGTGGTTATCATTATAGGTTTATACTTTAATAGTGAATACTTAATATAAACGTTAAAATTATTTTTAATAATATACTACTACTTTCAATATAAGTTTTTAATAAAAAAAAAAACTTTTTGTAGTAAATATCGTAATCGAAAACCTAAACAAAAATAATGGAACCAGATCGTGAATGGATATGCAAATTACTTATTTTACTGGAAGGATATTAAATATTATTATTAGAAAACAATGAAACAAAGCAATAGATAAATACAAATATAATGAATAACAATATAAAACTTACAATCGAAAGTTTAGTTTATTATTATAACCGAGATATTTATATATTAATCCACGTAAATATGATCAAATTTTTTTTTGTAATTTCTAATTAACATGTATTTATATTAACGATGGGATGTGAACTTATTATTTTATAAACAAATATTTTTAACAAGTACATTTTTAACGGTAATTTTTATGAACTGTATTATGTAGTATGCCGATAGTTTGTGTAGTATGCTTTAAAAATAATAAAGTAATTTTTATTGCATACCAAAACGTCAAAAATAATAAAAGGTTTTCAAATAAGAACCAAATACGTGAATAAATTAAATGTTAGAATATTATTAATAAAAATGGAAAAATTAGTTTTCTTTTCTTTTAACTTAAATAGTTTGTACAAATAGTTATAAAATATTCATTCTAGTACTATATACAATTTTAATCAACCAAAGCAAAACTCATTTTTATTTGTATTAAGAATAAGCAATCATATTGCATAGTATTTAATTAAAAAATAAATAAATAACAAGTGCGTAGTTAAAGAATCGTCTTTTATCAGAATTTATAAATTATATTATAATAATAATACAACCTATAGCTAAGAGTTAAAAATTAGTTTTTCAGTTCTTAAAAAATGGGCTCATTAGATACATGGTCATACCCATGGTTAGTTGCAAAATAAATAACGAAATAAAAATAGTATGTTTCCCTTACATACATTATTCAATCACAAACTCTAATGTAAACGACAATATTTTAGAAAAATCATGAACAATTAATTTAAAACCTAAATGGGATCGAACATTTTAAGTGATAAAAATATTAAAACAAAAAATATAAGGAAATTAGGTAAAAAATGTTTAGATTTAGGAATCTACACATTATCGACAAGTGTTCAAAGTACATATATTTATAGGCATTAAATATTACACAATGCACATGTATAGGTTGCTGTTAATAGTAATATAAGGTCTGAACAAAATGGTACTTTTTGTCTACTTTATTCGGTACGAATTGTTAAGAATATGGCTTTGTCAAAACAATAGTGCTATATTTCGGAAAATTAGATAAAAGGCTCTAAAATGTTCAACAAAAAATAGATGCTAATAATATACTACGAATGTATTCGTCAACACATAAAGATCTATACAATTAATTTAATAAGTTTTTTCTTAATATATTTAATGCGTGCACATGTATGTTAAATTAAATTCATTATAATTGTGCGGCGATAATACTAAAATCGATTTCGTTTAAACTCGAAACGTATATACGAATTGTATTGTTTAAAAAAATAGCATTTCCCACTAACCACCAAGAAATACCATACACACGAGAAAAATATACACGGATTATCATTTTCATTGATTTTGTAAAAAAAAAAAAAAAAAATTAGAAGATAGAAAATAAGAATATTTAATATTAGTTTTTATTTTTATACCAATTCGTTTCTCTTTTTAATTTTGCGATACTGCGGATCGACGACAAAAAACGACCAGATACAGATTGAGTGAGGATAGGAAGGAGAAAGAGAAACCATGTGGTGAAGGCACAGAAAATTAAATGCCCACAAAATGGTTAATTAGAAATTCGATATGGTTATTAGTTACAGTATAGTATTTGGAAAAAAAAAATTTAAAAAAATAAATAAAAAAATAAAATAGTAATAATTATAATAATAATAATAATAATAGTATAAAAATACGCAGATATGTACTCATGTGAGAACAGGCGAGTGAAACAACGACAGACATTTTCACGGATTATATCGAGGTATTTAGTAAAGTAATTTTGTATTCCGCCTCCATGCGTGCTGCGCCAAGAGATACGGAATTTCGCGCACGCCTTTAGAACGGTCAAAAGCAATTGATCATTTTACCAACTATATCACCATCTCTACTACTATACTTACTACTTGTATTATACAATGACGACGATCGCATACCTATACATACATGAACTCGATCCCTTTGGAGTCTAGGGAATACTATACGAAATCGGCAATTATTATTATATAAGGTAGCAATTGTGAGGCAGAGAGAACTAGTGCTTCGTCTATACCAACTCGGTATTTTTATTCAATACAATTTTTCTCTCAATAACCGAAGAATTGGTCGATAAAAATCAGCTTAGATAGCAGCAGTATTTCATCATCAACATTTCATATACTTATGATCACTCCACTCACACGAGATAATCTTTAAGTTATCAGAGGAAAGAGATTCCTACTTGATTAGTCCATACATTTTTAACCAAAACATGGCAGCTAGTCGTTAGAATGAAATACATCACAAGGTTAATTTATTTATTATGGGTTATTACGTTTCATTTCCCAGCGGATATTCTATATTAATAACAAACCATCCTCAAAATTTTTATAGAACATGAATTTCATTTTTTTTTTTTTTTTTATTGTTTAATTTACTATTAGTAAAAAAAAAAAAAAAAAAAAAACCATATAAGAAAGCAAAAGTATTAACATTATAAATATTAATATAATAATTGTCATCGTGTTATTTGGACATGACTGTATAAATATCAATTTTGCAACACCAAGACAAGTATAATTTCATTTTTAAGGCACGATTTTGGTTATGTCTATTAGAAATGAAAAAAATCAAAAATGTAATAAAGTTTATTCATAGTATTCTTAAACGAGTATTGTTTATTTTTCTAAAATGTATATAAAAAAAATAATATTAAAAATAAATATTATTTTTAAATATCTGTACAAGTTTATTTTGTACAAGTGATAAAAAAAAACAAGTTTAATATCCACGTATGCATAATTTTTTAAATTATTTACAAAAAAAAAATATGTTCCTATTTCTATACATATGATTTAATATATTAAATTTAAAACGTTAGTTGGTGTATTGGAGAAATATAATTGAATTTAAATATATTTTTTTTTTTTTTTTTGTAAATCCAATTAAATCAGGTCTTTCTGAAAGAATTTGAGGCTGGCGTACTATTGCTAATTTATCTATAAAATAGATAAAACTCTATTAAATATAAAACTATATTATACATTATACATAAATTATAAATGCAATATATAATTTGCTAGTGTTAAACTTAATGATTGGTATATATTTTGTTGTACCATTTATTAAATATGATAGTTATGGTATTTTAAATTTATTTAATAATTATTATTAGGAAGTTCAAAATATTATTTTATACAACGAACATAAATCGTTGCATTCTTGGGTGAAAACTTTTAAAAATTGATGTTTATACATTCTTGCAAACAACAATATTCCGATACGGAATATTTTATATACATCAATAACGGATAGAAACTAAACAACGAAGTTTTGATTAATTATAACTCATTTAAAGTGACTATACTATAAAAGCTAGACAATGTAAAATAACAACAAAAATAATAATAAATGATTCACTAATATTAGTTTATATTTAAATAAATAAATAAATTATCAAAATATTTGAATGGAAAAAAAAGTTTAGTTGCTTTTTAAATTTCAAATGCGAATGCTTTTAAACACTTAATATATATATATAAGAAAATATATTGACATCAATGTTGTTATTGTATATATACATGTGGTAAGTATTCGGCGTATTCGTTAATATTAAAAAAATACATTGAAAACTGTCGAAGTAGAACATAAAAAATATGGCTGTGGGTCGATATAAAAGTATAAATAACCTTTAGTTTGACGATTACGAATATATGACGAGGGGAAGAAATAGGGGACATGAGGGTAGAGGCATTTAAAATTAGCTAATAACGAGAGAAAACAATGTGAAAGAGCAACGATTCACGAAAAATATTATTCAATTAAATTGAGATGTATTCCAGTATACTTCAAACGGTGACCGATACAGAAGCATTTACAGCAATCATTAACTGTGTGGAGTGAAATCGTCACACCTCACGTACACATAGAAACTGAGGAGGATAACGAAAACGTATGTTATTGATTCACTATATCTACCCTCCTATGCTGTACACTTAACTAGTATCAAATAATATTGCAATCGTATTCGACAAAAACAAGAGTCGATCAATCTATAAACAATAATAATAATAATAATAATAATAGTAATCGGTATACAAACGGATGATGATCAATGAACCCACAACGACAGTAGCAGGCACAGAAAGCGAATATTATAATTCAACGTGAAACTATGTGTTGAGTGGCGCGGAAAGAAGAATTGGAGTGGATTAATTGATTAATTAACAGCCATACATGCAACAATATCACGGTCCTGCTTGACACGACCGACATGTACAATTATAATAATAAACAGCGGAAAGTGAAAAGAGATTGATGCTTACACATATATTTGTGAATGAGTAAACATACATACACCAAGTATCAACGGGTAAGATTTGACGTGGGACTGCTTGAGGAAAAAGATAATACAAGGGAGGAAATAAACTCCGAACTGAATGAAATAATACTTTGGGGGT